CATACAAGCTGACAATGAGAATTTTACCTCCTTTCGTCTTGGTAAATAGAGTATGCTCGATCGGACACCTCTCAAACTCCTCGTCCAAGAAATATCCTTCAATACGGCTGTACCAAGCTCTTGGGGCTTGTTTGAGCCCATACAATGCCTTCCTCAGTTTGTACACTTTCTCCTCTTCTCCTTTCTTTATGAATCCCTCCGGTTGTCGCACATACACATTCTCTTTTAGTTCCCCATGTAGAAACGCACTCTTGACATCTAATTGGAATATTTCCCAATTTGATTGTGCTGCAACCGCAAGTATAGTTCGAATCGTATCAAGCCTCGCCACCGGAGCAAAGACTTCGGTATAGTCTATGCCATAACACTGAGCATATCCCTTTGCCACCAACCTCGCCTTGTATTTGTCAACTTTACCATCTTCATTCAGCTTTGTTTTATACACCCATTTCACTCCAATTGGTGTAAAACCTGCCGGTAAGATAGTTAGCTCCCATGTGTTGTTTTTCTCAATCGATTCAATATCGTTTTTCATTGCTTCTCTCCACACCTTGTCTTTCACTGCTTCTTCGAATTTGACAGGATCATTTTCTGTCATCATCATCAATAGCATGACCGATAAGCTTTCTTCCTCATCTTCTCCTTCACCCGTGACATAATTTGCCAAATAACCCGGTGGTCTCCTTGTTCGTCGGCCTGTAACCACTTCTCTTTCAATTGATCTTGTTGGACTGGGCAGAGGAGAAACTGGGCTTGTCGGTGAGACTGGGCTTGTCGGTGTCGAATTACCAACAGATGCAAACGACGAAGATGAACTAGAAGGAGAAAAATTCGCGGTTGACGGGGGACAAGCCATGTCCGGAGGACAAGCCATGTCACCTTCTTTCACTTCTATATTATGTTCTTCTTCTCCACAGTCGAGTATTTTCTCTTTTACACCAGTTTGATTCCAATCCCAGCTTTTGTCTTCATCAAACACTACATCTTTGCTTATCACGATCATTTCCGTAACTGGATCATACAACCTCCATGCTTTTGATTCCTCACTGACTCCGAGAAAAACACATTTCTTGCTTTTGTCATCTAATTTTCTCCTCTTCTGATCAGGTATGTGTGCATATGCTATGCACCCAAAGACACGAAAATACTCCACCTCAGGTTTTGAACTGCTCCAAGCTTCTTCAGGTGTCATGTCTTCTACTGCTGCTGTTGGAGATCGATTCTGAATGTGCACACTCCATCTTGTAGCTTCAGACCAAAACTCCTTTGGGACTTGCCTCTCACTCAGCATAGACCGCACCGCATTCATTATCGTTCTATTCTTCCTCTCTGCCACTCCGTTCTGTTGTGGCGTAAATGCAGCCGTCAATTGTCGAGTGATACCATGAGTTTTACAAAACTCTCTAAATTCATTAAATGTGAATTCCCCTCCGCGGTCTGTCCTCAGGAAAGTGATGAAGGTTCCAATCTCCTTTTCAACACTTGCTTTGAAAGCCTTGAAGGTGATGAGTGCCTCCGATTTTTCATGGAGAAAATAAACCCAAGTTTTTCTAGTGAAATCATCAATGAAAGTTAAAATGTACCTCTTTCCGCTATGTGAAATTGGTGTAATCGGACCACATATATCTGAGTGCACCAGCTGCAACTGTCTCGATGCACGCCAGAGGCTCCTTTTTGACATTGATACTCTGTGTTGTTTTCCAGTCAGACATACCGCACATATCTCCTTCGTGGACTTCAGCATCGGCAGCCCAATAACCATCTTCTTTTGTGCAAGTTGTTTTAGAGCTTCTTGGTTTAAATGCCCAAAACGGCGATGCCACAAATTCGTCTCCTTCTCGATCACCTCTTCTGTCTTCAAGCACAACGTATTTTTCTGCAATTTGGATGTTAGAAGAAAGAACATCCTGTTTCCACTCATATTAGTCTCCATGATTGCACCTTTCTTGGGATGATATACTTTGCAGGTTCCATCACGAATCAAAATTGCCAAGCCTCTCTCCTGCAATTGTCCAAGGCTTAGTAAATTGTTCTTGAGCTCCGGGACATAATAAACTTCAGGTATGACTTGGGTGGCTCCGTTAACTTGTACCTTCACGCTTCCTTTTCCCACCACCGACATTCTTGTGTCGTTTCCAAGTTTCACAGATCAATTGAAACCTTCTTCCAAATCGAAAAACCAATCTTTGCATCCGGTCATATGATTGTTGCACCCGGAATCAAGGAACCAAACTTCTTCTCTGTTTGCCCGATGTTTCTCAAGATAAGACATCAAGAGCAGCTCTTCTTCTTCTTCTAGTTCAGCATAATTCGCTTTCTTTTCCCATTCAGGACACTCATTCTGATAGTGCCCTAACTGGTGACATTTGTAGCACTCGACAATGGCACGATCGACTGCGTTTCTTCCTCTTCCTCTACCGCGTCCACCTCGGAACATTCCGCGACCTCTTCCTCTGCTAGGTCTTTCATCTTGAGACACTTTTAGTGCCAACTCTTCTTGCACATATCCATTTAATCGCTGCTCATGGACAAGTAGGTTGCCATGTAATTCATCGATACTCATCGTGCTCAGATCATTTGATTCCTCAATCGAACACACCACATAGTTGAATCTCGAGGTTAGTGATCTGAGAATTTTGCTCACGATCGTGCTCTGCTCCATTGATTCACCATTCACCTTCATCTTGTTCACCACCATCAAGGTTCTTCCTAGGAAAATATCGATCTTCTCTCCTTCTTTCATGGCCAGCAATTCAAACTCCCTTCTCAAAGCTTGCAATTGCGCCCTTTTCACCTTTGTAGAGCCTTGATACTTCTTTTTCATGGATTCCCAGATCGCCTTAGAGGTACCTTTGTCAAGAATAGTTTCCAGAATCTCTCTGTCAATGGACTGGAACAAGAAATTCTTGACCTTCAAATCCTTCAACTTCGCCTCTTCTACAGATTTGTTTTGCACCTCACTCGCCTGCGTTGTCATCGTCGGAATCCCATCTTCCACCAGGCTCCACAATTCTCTGCTTCTCAGAAAATTCTCCATCGTCATGGACCAGAAGTCGTAATGGCCATCAAATTTTGGGATGGCCGGTTGCACAAATTTTTCTGATCTCTCAGACATCTCTCTTGATCACTTTCTCACACAGGTTCTTGCTCTGATGCCAAATGTGAAATATAAAATTGAAAGTGATACTTTATTGAACCAAAGGCAATGGCATTATATAGCCTACAGGAGGAAAAACTGAATATTAAAAGCAAGCTACAATTTAGGAAACAGACTCCACTAAAGCTAGAAACTAGGAAACAAACTCCACTACATAACATAGATGACTTATTCAACTAAGACAAATTCAAACTCCAACAGTAACCTCAATAATCGCTTGCAACCCTACAAAGCCCTGCATGCTCTTTAATTTTCACCTGGTCTACATTAACAAGTATGTCAATCTTCTTAAACTTTCTGTTGTAGTCGACATATGGAAAATTTTCGTATTTAGGTCACCCTTCTAAAGCCAATGCATTTTAGCACGTTGTTTCCAAAACATTTCCTTTTGAATGAGTGCCTTGTTATGCCTCTGCTGCGCCTCCAAGAATCTACTAACATTATCAGGTTCATTAGCGCTACAGTATCTTTCCCTCTCTTCCATACACTCATTCACCTTTTCTTTAAACTTCATATGTTTTCTTCTATTCCACCTTTTAAGCTCCTCCGTGCAACCAGAGACGGATCCAGGATATAACTGGTGTGGGCCACTGCCTCCACTAACTATTTACACACACTAACTATTTACTATATTGTTGACCCGAAATTTGATACAAAAACATAAGCTTTTATCTAGCATTACATCGCTCAACTTTTTTATTTGGCTGCAGCTGATTTTATTTTTATTTATACGATAATAGTATAATAATAAAATTATTAGTATTGAAAATAATAAAATTATTTAATCTTATTTAAATATAAAAATATGGTAGGAAAACAAATAACTATTTATATATATATATTTTGCCTCTATAAAATGTCTGGGTCTGTCGCTGCGTACAACAACGTTTATACGGTCGGTAATTTCCACTTCTCTTTTCAGATTCCACCCGACATGCACCACCTCTTCTATGTCTTCTTCTAGCAGCCATTTAATAAAATTCTAATCATTTTTAATAAAATATTTTAAAATTATAATTACCGTTTTTAATAATAATTACAAAAGATTCAACCTCCGGTTCAGCTTTTAAAGCACAGCTAAATAGAGTTTTAACCGTTGTTATCGTAAAAAGAGTTAGAATATTGGCAAATGCCCTTCCTCTCGTAAAAGTACGTAAAACATAGAGTAGGGTGGAGCATTCATAGTTGAGAATAAGAGCCTAAAATTTAGATCGTCCCACAAAAAAGTGAATGCGGGACGGGAAAAGCCCGCAGGCACTACATATTTTAAATTTAAAAAAATAAAAGTTTATGCTAATGTTCACCCGCAAAAGTCCGTGAAGAAAATAGGACGGTCATATTAGAGGATAAGAGCCTAAATTCTTCAACCGCCCAGCAGTAAAGTGTGGACAAAACGGACAATGTCCAACGGACCGAGTCCGTTTTGCCATCCCTACATACATTTAGGCTATACTTTGAAAGTAGTTACTGCAATACAGATTAAGTACTATTGTGATTCTGCTTATTATTTTCATATCTGTTATGCAGGTTTTGAATATTACTAGTTTACATATAAGTTCTATATGATTTAGTTTAATATATATGATGAACCAAGATGAACAATTGCTTATTTAAAGAGACAATAATACACTAGCAATACCTTGAACAATAGATCAATCAGTGAAGGTACATACTCGAAAGTTTACATATGTGAATTACATAGATAGAAGCAGAATACTGAACAAGTTAAACAATCCAACATAACATCCAAAATACAAACACATTTATATTACACACCCTAACACAACAGTTAACATATACTATTGCATAATTCCAATGATGAAACTTTCTTCGCACGATACACTTACGCACCTTCAATGGAGTCAAGTTCTGTTTGTACAGCACTGGTCACTGTTATGTTAACTCCCCTCTTCTTTACTAGTGGTTCAAAGGACTCGAGTTCTGTTTGGACAGCACTGGTAGGTGTTTTCTTAAATGAACTCTTCTTTTCCCGAGAATTCAGTCCGGTTGGTGTTTTCTTAATTGAACTCTTCTTTTGCGGAGAATTCACCGCAGTAAGAGGAGTAATCTCCTCAACAACTCTAAAAATGGTAATCTCTAAGATCAAAGTTTTGTCCATATAACCAGCAGGCTTAAACAAACACACATCAAACTCTTCAAGGTTATTTTCAAGTGCAAAATATTTCCACCCACCAGTAAGTCCTCCATTGTTACGAATATTATGATAGCGGTATTTCCCAAGCCATTCACTCTTACCCATACGTAATATCACATCTTGAGATGACGGAGAAAGATGGTTTATTCTCCACTTATTAGGGAATGACTAGTCACAAAAAATGAAAAGTAGATAAAATTAGTATCAACCTATGCTTTGTATAATATGCAGGAAGTTACCAAAATTCACAACCAATTTAAAAAAGAAAGTAGTTTACCACGAAGAATCTCTTGTATACATGCGTAGGTCGCATAGTTACAAGCAAGGTGTCTTCGGCACATGTTGCCTGGGCCAACTGAAGAGTATTTTCAATCTCATTTTTTGTGACAGGCCTCCTATTTGAAGTATATAGTTCCTTGGTCCGAAATCCAACCTTTGGAGAGGCCTTCGGAGAAACCTTGGGAGAAAGTTCAACACCTTAAAAAAATGATCAAAATCGGTTACCACGTCAACAGACACCAAACACGAAAGTGATACATTGACACTAGTTTGAGAAAAATGAATGAATTGAGTGTAATGACGTGTTTTCAGTCATGTTGGTGTCCAATACCATCACGTATCGAACATTAGATAGACTATCAATCAGAAATGTCAGTGCAACAAAGAAGAAAAGTGCTTTTCATTTATTTCTTTAATTGATTTCACAAAAACACTAGTGAAGTGTCACAAGTTGGACTCAAACAAGTACATGGTAAATTATACTGTCCAACTATTATTGAGCAAAAATGTTGCAGTTTTTCAAAATCAAAATTTTCAGCAAGTAATTTCACTCAATCAAATGTTTTGCAGATAAGAAAATATCCATAAAACAGTAGTAAGATATGTTTCTTGCTGATTGTGGTTTTCAGTTGTGCACAGATATGCTGATAGTGGTTAAAACTATTTGATCAGTGCACCACTTTAACCACAAGTGTTCCTTGTTTCTTTCTCTAATTGATAAAAGTAAAAATATTACCAGACACACAATCATGAGCTCTCTTGTGAGAATTAGGGGGTTTTGCTGGTCTTCCTCTCTTCTTAATTGGGACAGACATATCGGCATAAACAGGCTTCCTCCTCGTCCGTTTACCCGTTATTTTGGAGGGAACAGTTTTTGGCTCGGTATCTGTGACTGCATCAGACATGAATTGCTCGGCGGGAGCAGATTCAACACCAGCATTAGAAGTCTTGCCATTAGTTGTTTCGACAGGCACATCAATTGGCACTCTGATACTGTTAACATGCAAAGATTTCTCAGGTGAAACATCTTCATCAACACCATTTGGAGTGTTAATGTCTTCAACAGAATTATCGGTTTTTGGTCGTCTTCCTCTCTTCTTTGTCGGGACAGACGATTCGGCACAAACAGGTCTCCTCCTCATCCGTTTAGCAGTTGTTTGGGAGGGAACAGTTTTTGGCTCAGTATCAGGGACTGCATCAGGTATGAATGGCTCGGCAGAAGCAGATTCAACACCAGCATTAGAAGTCTTGCCATTAGTTGTTTCGACAGGCACATCAATTGGCACTCTGATACTCTTAACATGCAAAGATTTCTCAGGTGAAACACCTTCATCAACACCATTAGGAGTGTTAATGTCTTCAACAGAATTATCGGTGTTTGGTCGTCTTCCTCTCTTCTTTGTCGGGACAGATGTATCGGCACAAACAGGTCTCCTCCTAGTCCGTTTAGCAGTTGTTTGGGAGGGAACAGTTTTTGGCTCAGTATCAGGGACTGCATCAGGCATGAATGGCTCGGCAGAAGCAGATTCAACACCAGCATTAGAAGTCTTGCCATTAGTTGTTTCGACAGGCACATCAATTGGCACTCTGATACTGTTAACATGCAAAGATTTCTCAGGTGAAACATCTTCATCAACACCATTAGGAGTGTTAATTTCTTCAACAGAATTATCGGTTTTTGGTCGTCTTCCTCTCTTCTTTGTCGGGACAGACGTATCGGCACAAACAGGTCTCCTCCTCATCCGTTTAGCAGTTGTTTGGGAGGGAACAGTTTTTGGCTCAGTATCAGGGACTGCATCAGGTATGAATGGCTCGGCAGAAGCAGATTCAACACCAGCATTAGAAGTCTTGCCATTAGTTGTTTCGACAGGCACATCAATTGGCACTCTGATACTCTTAACATGCAAAGATTTGTCAGGTGAAACACCTTCATCAACACCATTAGGAGTCTTAACTTCTTCAACAGAATTATCTGAGTCCCTTTTCCTGCCAGAACATCCACCCCCTTGTTCAGTATTGACAGCTTGCCAACATTTTCGAACAAAATAACAAGCTGCCTTCTCACATAAACTCCCGCCATCGAAGATTAAAACCTCAAACAACGATTCACCGTTGTACTTAAAGACAAGGAAATCATTTTCTTTCAAAGAGTGTTCTTTCATGAATTGTTGCCAACCGTGCGTGAAGTACAAGGTATCGCCTTTAGTTGTCAGCTCTATATTCCAAAGCATTCCAGCAGGACCTTTTAGGGTCACACTTTCTGGCAAGTTCTTCTTTATATTGTTAGAAAATGTTTTGGGAAGTGCCTGAAAACAAAACATGAGCTTGAGCCGCATAGAGATATCTGTTGGTAGACTACAGTCTATGAAGGCCAACACAAACACTGGACACAGCACTAACATCGCAGTAACATCGACTTGTTCACACCAGTAATAATTTTAGAAAATATCAGTAATCAAATGTGTTGGTGTCATGTCGGTGTGGAAAGAGACCTACCCAAGCATCCATACGTGTCAGACACCAAACTCACCTTCAACCAAAAGTGTTGGTGCTACAGAGATCATAACAATCTCATTGAAAAACAACAATTAATAATCTCAAGTATACTATTTAAATAGTTATAATAACAACCCAAGATCAACCATGTTACAATGAATGAATCTCCTTACTCATAAGCATTCACTTCCTTATCTTTTTTTTCAAAGCCTCCCAAATCATAAGCATGACTCTACCAGGATGCATGCATGCATGATCAGAACCTAAAAAGTGAATGCATGCTTCATCTATAGCAATGTCAGCCAAAACAAAGTGTCACAGAAACAATATGGATATGCAATGAAAGCATGCAATGAATCAAAAGAATGAAAGTCATACTAACAAGTTGTTGATGAAAATCAGAGCGGAGAAATTGTGTGAAATGGATGAATTGAAAGTGTGTCCAGTAAATGTCTTCCTCCCAACCTCTGCACACTCCTCCCATTTGAAACAGAATCTGATACGAAAATGGTAGAAAGCTGAAAATGGAAATGAAGGACAGTGAAAATAGACAGAAAATCGGAGACAAGCCAATATATCAGGAAAAACACATGTGTTGCATAAAATTCCAAAAGTGTGATAGTTTCAAGAGTTTTCACTTCACAAGTTACTTGCTGGTCTAAATAAAATCATTATATTCCTGACTTGATGTATCTTTTTATTTTTTATTTTTTTTCACTATATATTATATATATTAAACTTTTTTTATAAGATTTTTTTTTTTACTATTTTATGATTTTTTTCTATTTTATATTATTTTGTAAATTAAAATAATAGTTGGTTAAATTGGATGAGTGACTTCAAAACTCTACTAATAGATTATGTGATTTGTTTCGAATTAGTCGATTTTAAAATAAGATATCAATACAATGTCATTTTTTTCCTTATGCTCAATTAAACAACTAAGAGCGTCAAATATAAAGATGTACCATTTGTCGTATAATTGGCTAATACTAAGAAAGTTGTGTTTAAGCCCTTTAACTAAAAACACATTTTCAATAGTAATTTTGGCAGTATTTCCCACAATACTTTCTCCTAATATGTTACTTCTTGTGTTGTCTCCATAGATGACGTGACCGTTTTCTTTTTCATCGAATTTGATGAACATGGAAGCATCTTCTGTCATGTGTCTTAAACATATGCTATCTAGAAACCATAATCTTTTCGCAAAACCAAGACATTTATGCAGACAATCAAATAGGTAAATTTAGGTCCCCAACTAGTGGGTCCATTGGGTTAGTGGAGATACACTTAGGAACCCATGTCATCTTACCATTTGGAACTTGGAAGTTCCTAATTTGACATTGAGGCCTAATGTGTCCCTTATCACCACAATACTGATAAATATCTTTAGATAAAATATCTATTCTACTTATTCTAGTGACACGAGGGTCTTTCTTACAAATAATCCCTCAATCACTTGAAGATCTAGAACAAGAACAAGATGGTGAAGTAACATGAGTTAATTGTCCTTTGAGATTTTCAATTTCAAATTTTAAAATTGGACATTTAACACATTTTACTTTTTCTATCTTTTCAACTAAAGTATCTGAAACATTATAACACTCAGCAACTAGATGCATACGCGTCTTTGTTGTTGCGGTAAAGCAGCAAGAAAAAATAAATATTTTTAGTTTTTGTTCTGGATTGGGCCCGCGCTTAGTCTGCCGTCGGATAAGGTCCAACCCAACTCTGTTACGAGGAAGACCCACTACAATTACCCAAATTACTATGACTGTTGGGGAACGTCGCCCCCATGTGCCCGTCGAGGACCTCCTCCTCAACACGTGCACATGGTGAACATCCTCCACATGTGCCCGCCGAGGATCTTCTCCCCACGTGCCCGTCGGGGACGTCTCCTCTATGTGCACGATAAAGATATGTGGCCAACGTTCCTCCAAACATCACAGAGTCATCCTGCTCCCAAAAATAACGGGTCTTCACCCTCCGAGAATCACGGGGAAGTTGAACCACCATAGAGACCATGAACTAGTATCCTCTACCCACGTAGGATCCTGGCAGTCTCCATTTTAGGCATGGGCATCGGACCAAAATGGGGACCTTGGCCAAACGCTGGGGGTTATTAATACCCTCTTTCACTAGAGAGTCATGTACATTATTCTATTCACTTTTTCATACTTTCACTTTCGCTCTGAACCTTACTTTGGCATCAGAGTGTCTTACAGGTACATGTCACGGTGAAAACTCGAGGAAACCAAGCTATTTGAGGATTTTGACTCATAAAGACTTAAGAAGTCACCACCGAACTTTATTGTTTCCAAGAAAAAGGGAAAAGCGAAACCCTATTGTTTAACATGCAATGCAAGAAGTAAAGACTACAAGCAAATCATAAGGAAGAGATCTAAGGTAGGGGGTTTGTTATACAAAGGGAAGATATTAGCATCCTATGTATCTATAGTACTCTATAGGAACCACTTATGATATCTTTTTTTTTTGGTTTAAAATTGTTTGTTTTCTAAATGAGTTTGGAGATGGGAAGAGAAAATATTTTTATTATATTTTTGTTTGGAAAGACATAGTCTTATACCGACGTACCAATTAAGGATCAAAACCTTGTAGTTCGTAGTAAAAATGATAAAAGGGTTTGTTGTGGTTGATTTTAGGATAAAAGAGATTGCATTATATTTTAGAGAGAGAGTTCAACTAATACCACCACAAGTATGAGAAGATGGATCTTGCATCATCACGAAGGAAGTGCTACTAACTTGTATATAAAGATTAACAAGTTACCAACTAACATCTTCACGTGGAAAGAATCATATTTACTTCAACAATTATTATGGAGATGGGAGAATCATCTCTCAACTATAAAGAGGATTTATATTTAATATTTTTTAGAAAAGTTTTAAATTGAAAAGTCAAGTGGCAAAAATATTTGGGTGAGTTTAAGTCACTTTTAGTCTTTTGAAATTATTTTGATAAGCTTAAGTATATTCGGTTTTTTAATTAAAGAAAGAAAGTTTGAAAATGCAATGACACAAAGTCAATGTTTTTTTATATGAAAGTGGTGAATGTTTGAAAATTAATTTTTATGGTTAAAAGAGTTTTTTAGAGTACATGAAAATACATAGGGTGATCATTTACAAGGGTTTTTTACAAGGGGTAACCATTAACAATTATAAGGGTAATATACAAATGTTTTACGCAAGGGTAAACTTAAGACAATGCACATGTATATGACTGTAAAGTCAACAATACTATCATTTTCTTTAGATTTGGGGCACAAGTATTTAATATTAATTACTAACATAATAACAAACACACACATCACAAGTGTTATACACAAAGGAGAAAGGTTAACATGCTTATCAAGTAAAAGTTGTGACAAAAGGTAGAATTAACAAACAAGTGTGAAAGCGAACATGCAAGCATAGTATCACTTTGAATTTAAAGGGGTTTATGAAGGAAATACATCCTTAAAGATAAGCAAGCTTATGAAAACATGAATAAATAATCAATAAAGATCAAAGCATGGTAAGCGTATGAAGTTCAAAGTCATGGATCATGAATTAGGTTTTTTTGAACAAGTTATGATTTAAACATCAAAAAGTTAAATCTTAAACCTAATTGAAACAAAAAATTCTCTTGGTACCAAAGGGCACAAGGGTCAAGCATAATTAATCACAAGACAAGGGATGATCATCAAAAAAGATTTTAATTGAGAAATCAACAAGAAAACCAAAGAAAAAAAATCTTTTAAAGCTACTAAAAAGGGCTTGTTTTGAATTAAATAAAAAAGTGATTTTTTTTTGTTGGGATTTTTTAAATAGTCATAAAATAAAGGTGATAAATGAGAAGTGTGTAAAAAATTAGTTAAAAATAAGTTAAAAATAAGTTAGTTTGCATGTTGAAATAATTAAATGAAAATGGTTGAATAAACTAAAAAAAACAAGTGATAAAAAATGGGAAAGGGGCTAGGCAAGTGTTGAACCTGCGCCCTTAAGGCGATGGGTTAAAAGATTATCCATTGGGCCACGCGCTATGGTTTGTACAAAGAGTGCACCCAGTATAAAATATATGAAACATTCTTCAGAAAGTCAGAAAAATAAAATAAATGGAAAAAAAAGGACATAAGGGGGGTTCATACTAGTTTGAACCCTCGCCCTTATGGTAAGAAGATACTTGAAAACACGCACTGCTATCACTGGGGTGGCGATACATCTGTTCATTAAAACACAAACCAACAAATATATTATAAATCAGTTTTCAAAAATAGAATAATGGCGCCATGGACATCGTTTTCTTCCTCACGACCAAAAATAACTTTCTATCATTGGCAAACATGCAATTTCTTCATTTCTCAACCAATTTGAAAACTGTAAACACCAAACTGGACTAAAATTTAACAAGGAATTCAATGGTGTAATTTTCAGAAGCTATTAATTAAAGACAAACATAAATTTAATCAAACAAACAATTGGTGCCCTAAATATTTAGAGCATCGAGATTCTCTTCACACAGACAAAATTAATGAAAAATATCTACAGGGTTAGCTTCAGAGTAATGATGTCTACATTTTATCTTTAGAAATTGAACATAAATGATGTATGTATGATGGTTTTTGAAAGGGGTCCGAATTTACCCTTTTGGAGAAATTCCAAAGCTTCTTCTATGGATTCTAAGTGCGCTGTGATGATCCTATGAGCTTGCTGGGACCTCACTAAAACTATTTCAATCCTTACTTTGCTTCGAAACTTGCTGAAACGATCCAACCAAGTCAATATGCAAGTGAACTTTTTTTTAGTGAGAGGGTGAGAATGGCAAGATATCAATTTGGATTTTATGGTTTGGATAGACTCTAAATGATGTTTTCAAGCTTTGAAAATGATAAAAATGGAAAACGCAGGAGTAGAATGAGAAATGGAAGTTTGAGGTTTGGAAAACTTGCTACAATGGTGTTTTGGTGCAAATTTGGTTGTGTTTGAGTTCTGAGCCTTGAGAGGTATTTATAGAGGTTACATTTGGTCTATGTAACTTGAAGAAATCAGGTTTAGTTCATATGGAAGGATGGTTTGGTTGTTTGGTTTCAATTTGCACAAAAAAGCATGTTGCTTCATGATGAAGAAAAGAGTGAATCAAGGGATTCTTGCCAAGCCTTTTCGACTTTGTAGATTGCTTCTGCTATTGAGAGATTTGTTATGATATTTAGAAAATATTTCAAGCTTGAAAGAAGAGAGTGGTTAGCCAAAAGGTGATCTTTATCAAAGTAGAAATGTTACTTTTGCAATTTCAACCATAAATAGTATCATGTTTGGACAATGTTTCTAATCCTTGTGTAATACACTTAGAGTCTGTGTAATTACTCAATTATGCATAGCTTTAGAGGCAAGAAGGTTTGAAAAGAAGGATCTTGTAGCTTAGGTTTGAGATTTGGCCATAAGATTTTCAAAAGAATGGCCTATAATTCAAGTATGAGTGCCCAAC